ACATCCTTCACTCGCTGAGGAGACTGCCAATTGCGCAACAACTCTACCTTGCCCGGCTCCATCGCAATTCCTTCAGGGGAGATACGGTGCCCCAGGAACTCGATGGTAGTCTGCCAGAACTGACACTTCTCCAGCTTTGGGAACAAACGATGCTCCTGGAGTCATTGCAGGACCAGGCGTAGGTGCTGCAGATGATCCTTCCGAGGAGTCGAGTAAATCAAAATGTCGTCCAGATAAATGACGACAAACTGATCCAAGAGGTCCCGGAAGATATCGCTCATAAAGTGCTGGAAAATTGCCGGGGCATTGGCCAATCCAAACGGCATGACTGTGTACTCGAAATGTCCGTACCGGGTGCCAAAGGCTGTCTTCCATTCATCCCCCGCCCGGACTCGGACCAGGTTATAAGCGCAATGTAAAACTGGATGGCCTCTTCGTGATCCCCGAGGACCAGGCGCAAGGGCTGCATGGCGGCCTTGACAGGCCCAGACAGAAGCACCCGGCCATCAATGGTCTCGACCAGCATCGGTGGGTCCACCGGACACAGAGGGATGGCGTACTTGGTCACAAACGCCTCGTCCATGAAGTTCATGATAGCCCCGGAATCGACCAGGGCGTGGGCTGGAATCCCTGGCAGACTACCAGACAGGAGAATGCGTGCTGCCAAGATCATGTGCCAGGGAGGGCTGTCCATCTCTGTTTCAGTGTGCGCCCGACCTAAGGTCTCCCTCAGATCAGGTTCTGCCCGTTTCCCAAGTTGTTCTGGAGCTGAGGGGTAGGCCCCAGACCTCGCAACCCCACTACTCTTCTCGGGGCAAGCTGTGGCCAGGTGTCCAAGATCCCTGCAATAGAAGCACAACCCCCCTGTGCACCGTCTGTCCATCTCCGTTCGTGACAAGCGGGGTTTGGCGGCGCCCAAATCCATGGGCTTCTCCCATGAAGCTAGGGTCTCCTGCGGGATCGGCACCCCCCCCCCGGTCTCCTGGGACGCGCGGCGAGGCCCCCTCCTCTGCAACGGGGCGTCTATCTGGAGGCACAGGTGGATCAGCACGTTGAATGTCGGTGGCCTGTCCACCCGCACCAGCTCATCCTGCAGGTCCTCCAACAGCCCATCTTGAAAAGTGTCCATGAGGGCTGCCTCATTCCAGGTCAAATCTTGGTTAGGAGCCGAAATTCGCTGACATAATCCTGCAAGGAACCCCGGCCCTGCTGCAGCGTCTTGAGCAGTCTGGTGGCTGTTTCCTCCTTAATGGGGTCCTCATACATGAGGGTGAGGTGCTCGCAAAACCCCCTGAAATCATCCAGCAAAGGGCTACCTGAGACAACAAAGGAGTAGCCCAACGAGCTGCAGAGCCTGAGAGCAAGCTGATAATGAATCCCACCTTAGCCCAGTCAGTGGGAAAGTCCTCCGCTCTCAGACTGATAAAAAGCTGGCATTGCCCCCAAGAAAGCTGGAAACATGGCTTGGGTGCCGTCAAACCTGTCCGGCACGGCAACCAGACGTTTCCTCCGAGGCTGGGGGGTAATAACAGGCCCTTGAAGCCAGGCTGTCTGGCCAGCCTGCAAAGCCAGCTGTTGTGCTAATTGAGCATTCTCAGCACAGAGCTGCTCCATGGTGACTCAATGTAGCTTTTGCTTCTATAGGGCAAGACAAAAACTATTCTGACCCCCCCCCCCTTCAACCTGCAAATCACCCAGACACAAGCTTGGCTGTTCGCCACTCTTTAATCACGGATTTATCAACTCCTTTGGCTGAAGGCCCAGACACGACTCACATGCAAGACTAGTTGAAAATCACGACTCACAGGCACAGATACACGGCAGACAGAGTATTCCAATACAGTTTCAAACGGTTGTGTCTTGCAAATGACTCCTCCCCACATCTTTACTTATATATTCTCTTGGGAGGGGCCAAGCCACAACCACCTGGGCTTCATTATCGTCTCTGAGTCTGCCTCCACAGCTGCTGCTTCCGTTTCTCACCCTTCTTTGTCTGGCATCAGGAACAAACTGCCTTGAGTCCTCCCCACTGCTCCATGCCTCAGGTGCCTCCTGGTGGCCAACCAGCCTCTCTGGTCCCTGCTCTGAGTCTGAACCCTGCCCAGGGTCCTCCACATGTTCCCTCGCAGACTCATATGGTTCCTCACTATCCGAGTCCATCAGCAGCTCAACCGGATCCTGCTGGGCCACAACAGTTAGGTATTTCCACACTCTCTAAATACTGTTTTTTCTTTTCCTCTGCCATTGTGTCTTTCTGGTATAATTCCTTACAATATTTTTCTACTATTTCTTCTTTTTCCTCCTTTTGATAACAAATATTCCCTTCTTGGTCTGATAATTGATTTATGATTTTTTTTCTTTCTCTTTTTTCATCTTGTACGCCAACCATCGTCCTTGTTTATTTGCATTTTCAAAGAAGTTTTGTCCTGTGGCTTTTACTTTATTTGCCACTTCTTTGTTTTACATTAAATTCTTGACCACGACCTATGTCTGTTTGAGTAAAATGCATATTGTTTTTCTCTCAAGTGTCTTCTTCTCCATACATCTTGTGGACTTAATTCCTACATCATTGTAAAGAATGTTTTAGGCAGTGTTGTCCTTAGCTTCTTATTCAACCTTTCAGTTTTATAATCCAACTCATTATTTACTCATAAATATAAAAAGTGGAAAGAGGGGACATAACTAAGGCAGAATATCAGCAAATAGCCGAAGCCTGTAAAGAAGAAGTGAGGAAAGCTAAGGCTCACAATGAAGAAAGGCTTGCCACAGAAGTAAAAAATAACAAAAAAAAGCTTCTTCCAACATGTTAAAAACAAGANTCCTCCCCACTGCTCCATGCCTCAGGCGCCTCCTGGTGGCCAACCAGCCTCTCTGGTCTCTGCTCTGAGTCTGAACCCTGCCCACGGTCCTCCACATCTCCCCTGGCAGACTCATATGGTTCCTCACTATCTGAGTCCATCAGCAGCTCAACCCAGTCTTGCTGGGCCACAACAGGCAGCTATTGCCTGGGCTGAATACATTTATTTTTTTATAATAACATACTTATATATCCATGGGAACAATTAAGAGAAACGTTTAAGAAGTTTCTTCTTTTTGTAGAAGCTGTTAAAGCCAAGCTTTTAGGTGGGCAGTTAAATAATGGCCATAGGGACACTGGCCAGCTACTTAAAATAGCTCAGATCCTTGCATATATGCCATGTAAAATGTAAGAATATTTCCATGTGATACTGTAGTCCCTACAGTAGGTTAACCAATAGGTTGGTTAAAGGAGCTGAAGATCATGCAATGAGCCTTATTGTGCATTATGAGCTCTTTGGAGGATTCACGAAAGCTTTGTATATTGCGTTGGCCAACAACTCAATGTCCCATGAAACACAAAACTCCTTAGCAATCTTTAGTCAAAACGAGAAGCACATACTATGGACCACTTGAGCAAAGTGTTAACTACATTTATGCCTTTTTATGATCTCTGTAATTCTCAAGATATCTGTTTAATGTTGTCATTATTCTCAATTCTGCTGTTCACAGAGAGCGAAGAGGTTTACCAGCGACAGGTGCTGTCCATTTCCTGCATCGTCTTTGGGATCGTCATTGTGGGAACAATCTCTGCAGCATTCTACTTCAGAACAAAGTAAGGCTCTCCAACTGGTCTCCACCCTTCCTTCTAGCCTGTCTAGACATTTTCCATCAAGTGGCATGGTTTTCTCCAAATATGCATATGTGTTTAATGGGACCAGCCTGTTTATATTAAATTTATATGCCATCCATTTATCCATCTTACTCTGCAATGCAATTCTGCAAAATGTTAGATTAACTCCAGGTTTGAATCAATACAAATCAATAGCCTTGTCCAAGTTGATTCAATGTCTGCATTAAAATGGATCTAATTTACACAATGGAATGGAATGGAATGGAATGGAATGGAATGGAATGGAATAGAATAGAATAGAATAGAATAGAATAGAATAGAATAGAATAGAATAGAATAG